AGTTCAGAAGACCCAAAATACACAATTTTAATTCTCTCACAGACTGCAGTGGCTCCTTCTGTGTTGTGTGTGTTAACCCAGGTAGTTTTCCAGGTCACCAAGTGAACTTAGCTACAGTCAAGCTGTCCTGTTGGTTGCTTCTGTACATTTTATTTTTTCACAGCGTATTGTCTGGTATGATGCAGATTGTATATTTATTGAAAATAAAATTCTATTTAACTGTGCCACATAGACTGGGGTGATACTTGTTAGCAGAATTCAGCTTTGTGTTGAGTTCCATCAGGAACAAGCAAAGCCAAAATGTTGGTGTTTACCCCCTTGTTACTCACTGCAGATGAACCAGGAGTAATTTCAGAGAAACTGGGGACCTGCTGATGGACATCGGTCAGGAGAGGGTGTTGGTCTGGCCGTGCGTGCTTCCCGTCCAGAAGATACCCAGTGTGCTGCAGGTTGGACGAAGTCTCTGCACGGGGCTTTGGGTGTTGGTTCTTTGCAGGAATTGGCCCCAAATTATTATTGCTCTATTTATCACCACTGAGACTGTATAAAAAATCTGTATCTTGCTTACAGCCCATTCAAAACATCAAACAAGCGGGACATGGCCTTGAAGAGAGCTGGACCTGGCCCATGGCTTTATTGTCTTTCCATGTCTTCATTTTGGAGAAGGCAGGATGGGTCCTGTCTGCAGCAGTGTTTATCTGTGTTGGACTGGAAAGCCTCGGGGTGTCATGGATGGGTCAGCTCTGCCGCCACATCAGTGCTGCTGTGACCAAGCAGAGGAGGTGGGGAAGGGCTCCCAGCTCTGGCCGTATCCCGCTCCCCTGGTCACCTGTGAAATGCTGGGAAGTTGCCTGTGGCCCCTGCAGTGGCCAGGGCCGGTGGCCCGCTCCCCCTCTGTGCACTCTGCAGTGCAGAGCCTTCTCACAGCTGTGCCGGTCTCCATCGGCTGCTTGGGAGAGGAGCAAACCAACGCGCTCGCCGTCTGCCCTGGCTCAGGGCGAAGTCCCTTTTCACGGGGAGCAGGAGAGTTGCAATGAGCAAACCAGAGGCGTTTGGGACAGGGACCTGGGGCTGGGTGCTGTGGGAAGCTTTGCCTTTGCTGTGGCCCCTGTGAAACTGGAGGTCAGAGTGATGCTCATCCGGAGCTGACACGTGGTGGGGCAGGCAGCAATCATCTCCCTCCCCTTTTGTCATCAAACGCAGCCCAGAACAAACTCCTGTTACCTCCTGTGCTTTTAGTATTTTGATTTTTAAAAAGAAAACAATACATGTATATGCCTATTTCACCCCCATTTGTTTGGCTACTACAGTTAGGGACAGGTGAGTCTTAAAAAGAAAAAAAAAAAAAAAAAAGTTGAGTGCTTGTTTGGGCAGATGTTGGTGTGTTGGTCAATAGTCCTTGGTGTGGTCCAGGGTGTTTGTGCTCCAGCGTGAAGGTCTGTGTTTTAACTCTGATACCAGCATCCCTGCAGCACACCTTCAGTCTGGGACCTGCTCCCGTTTACATTGAGTTGTGGGTGTTTCATTCCCTTCTGCTCTCAGAGCATCCCTGTGCGTGTTCTCCATGTGACAGCCAAGTCTGATACGGTGACCCTGCCATCGTGGAGGAGGGAATGCAAACCATACAAGGAGTCTACAAGAGATATCTCCTCTCTTCATCCAGAGGCCATCCCTCAGCAGCTGGGGGAGAGGGACAGCACAGACACCCTGCTCCCAAGCCGAACATTGCCTGATCTCAAAGGATGGCAAAAAAGGCCTGAGGGACCTTGTTGCTGAACCATCGCCCGGTTGCTGTGGCTGGGGGTGAACACAGGTAGGAGCTTACCCTTGGTGTGGTCGTGCTGACTGTCCCCTGGTGAACGCCTTCGCTTCTTACTGACCACTGCACATAGCTGCCTGCTGCTCTCCAGCACCGCTGCCCTACGTTAGCAGCACAAAGCCATGGGGATCGTGGTTGCCACAGGGCTGTCCACGGGCATCCTCTTTCCAAGCATGGTGTGGATGGTGGGTTTCAATTCTACCCTGCTTCTCTGCAAGGTGAATTCCTCCTTTGTCCTGCAGCGCGGTCGATAGCAAATCTCTGTTCTCCAGCTTCCTCCTGGTTTGTCTCGTCAATAAATCACGGCGGAGAGGGAGCCCACGGGGTGTCCTGGGCAAACACCCACTGCAGGAGGCCGATCTCTTCCTGTAACTTGAAAAGGCTCAGACCAGGAGCCGTGGTTTCAGCAGTCACTGCCATCAATATTAATATTCTTCCACGCGGGGATCTATGGGCAGCAGGACGAGCTCTGGGCATCCACTGAGGCTGACCTGAGACCTACCATGTGCTCTGCTCAAGCACTGGGGATGAAATGTTAACAGAAGGCACTCTCGCCCCTGAGTCTGGCTTTGCGCCGTCCGGTCTCTGTTTCCCAGGGAGGGGGGTGTCGTGTACATACACTGCCAAAAATTGGCGAGGGAACCCTGAAGAAAGGTCAATAAATCACAGAATGGTCAGGGCTGGAAAGGACCTCTGGAGATCATCTGGCCCAACCCCCCTGCCAGAGCAGGGTCACCTACAGCAGGTTGGATGGGAACGCATCCAGGTGGGGTTTGAATATCTCCAGAGAAGGAGACTCCACCACTGCTCTGGGCAGCCTGTGCCAGTGCTCTCCCACCCTCCAAGTAAAGAAGTTTTTCCTCATGTTGAAATGGAATTTCCTGTGTTCCAGTTTGTGCCCGTTGCCCCTTGTCCTGTCGCTGGGCACCACTGGGAAGAGTCTGGTCCCAGGATTGAAGCCCACCGAGGAGCTGCCGGCCTGGAAGGCAATCAGCAAACAGCCCGGGGAGGGAGGGGAGCAGAAGGGCCGAGTAAAGGAGAGGTGGCTGTGCTCCGGGGGCTGCACCCAGCAGGTAGAACACATCTCGTGCTTTGTGAGATCGGAAGGTAGCGCGACGTGCAGCTGCAACTCCAGCCGGCTCCGCGTGCAGGACGTGCGTGTACTTTCCCAGTGCTGGGAGCCAAGCCGGTGCCCTGCTGCCGCACTGGGCACGGAGCCGCCGGCTCGGGGGGCAGCACAGGGGGCTCAGTGCTCCTGCCGGCACTGCGGGGGGATGCGTCTGCGGCCGGTCTGTCGTTAGGATTAAAGTTATCCTGGATCTCTGCTCTCTCTTTAAGCATTAACGTTTGTGCTTTGGGAGTAGATTAATCTGCTCAGAGTTTTGTTCCATAGTTTGCTGATAGTTGCTTATAACACTGGCTTTATCTGGGGATGGTGTGTAGTTAAGAAAGGAGAAGGCATGCTTTGGCTTCTAATACTCTTGAATTTCTTTATTTTTAGTGGTCTGATATATCAATAGACATTTCCTTGAGCCATACAGTTTCAGACCAATGTATGGAACTGCAAATGAAAGGAGGAGGGGAGTTTTAACAGGTTTCATTTAAAGCAAAGAAAATAGCATATGAAAGTTGATTGAATGAGCTACTGTCTCTGAGTAAGTCTGGATACTTTGCTATACTGAAAGCTTTCTATCACCCCAAATTGTTTCTATCTGGATCTTGCCTGTAAAAACAGCGGTCATCCTAACTCAAGTCCCAGAAAAGACTGAAAATTTTAATATGTAGCTAAAAATAAAAAGGGAATAGCATTGGCTGTGTTCCCAAGCAGTTTGTTCAAAGCTGTTTTAAGGCATAAATTCAAAATGGAGCAGGACCACAAAAATTTCACAGCATTTGGGCACATACTGCTTCTCTACCAGTGCAACAGCTAGGAAAGGACTTTATACAGTATTTTTAAAAATCTGTTTATTTCCAAAAAGTGTTTGACCACAGAAAGGAGATGTAGTAGATAATATTGACAGTTAATAATATTGGCTGATGCTGAAGGTTTTCTGCTGTTACAGGACTGCACAGACCCGGCAGAGAGACATAGTGTGAGTTCCTGAAACAGCCTCGGACGCCCGGGCGCAGCTGGCGGTTTCCCCTTCCAGGCTGTTTTAGCGTGTCAAAGCACAGCCTTTGCCTTGTTAAATCATCAAATGGGGCAGTAATGGGTTAAACCCCACAGTTTTGGGCTGCAGGAAGGCTGGAACAAGGCAGTGCTCCCCTGCAGCCCTGGGGACCCTCTCCACCTGCTTGCCCCAGCTGCAGCCCGCCTTCCCCGGGGTGCCCACGCTGCGCGGGGGCTGCGGTAGCACAGCCCTCGCCTTCCAGCTGCTGACTCTGCCCTGGGTTTGAAGGGCTGCTGGCCTTGCACAGCAGGCAAAAGGGCACATTCTTCAGGGACCCCAAGGTCAGGGTCTGCCCCGAGCTCCCCTCCGTGCTGATGCCCCGCGGGGGGAGGCAGCCAGCACAGGGCACTTGGGCAGTGCTAAGTTGGGGACACAAAATAATGTCTCAGGAAGCGACCGGAGGGCATAGATAAGGGATTTCCTTGCTCGCCTGCAGCCTCGGTCGTGGGATGAAGGCTCTCCAGGAGGAGACGTGCACCCCTGTGGAGCCAGGCCCTGGGCAAAGGTCTGGGCGCAGGTCCCTCGGGGTGGGATGCAACAAGCGTGGCCGGGCTCAGGCAGCGGCGGGTGGGGAGGCGTGTGTGTCACTGGGATGGGAGAGCCGCTGCTTTTGGGGGAGGGAGCAGCACAGCGCCTCTATCCACCTCCGCGCCGGCAGCCTGCCCC